GCCAGTTATCTGGAAACTAAGATCTTTTGTTAAACTTTCTTAATTTTATAATATATTTTTTTCCTCTTGGTATGTGTGGTTTTTGTATGATTCATCTTAGATTTTTATTTTAATTTACATTATATGTATTTAAAGGATAAAGCATAAATGCATAATATGTGCTGAGTTTTAATAATGAACAGATGAAAGTTGAACATGGACTAGATATACGATTTAAGGGATTTTTTTTTTTTTAGTATCATAATATTGTTATATTTTTAAAGAAAATGCCTATTCATATTCTTATAAAGATGCATACTAAATATTTACCAGAGAAATGTATTTGCTTTAAATTATTTCAGAAAAGATAATGGGGAAGAGGAATGGATTGAAAAAAGAATGGCAGAAACTGGGCTGGGTGGCTGTAGTTCAGTAGTCCCTGATACTCAGAAGATTTAGGCTGAAGGATTGCTTGAGCCTATGGGTATGAGCCTGGGCAACATAGCGAGACCAGTCTCAAGAAAAAAAGTGACAAAATGTTGGTAATTGTTGAAGCTGGATTATTGGAACATGGAGTTCATTATATTATTTTCTCTGTATTGTATATTTGAGAACTTTCATAATAAAGAACTTCAAAAATCCACAAAACAGATGTAAACATACTTTTTCTTAGAGATTTCAAAGTCCAGATCTATGAAGTAAAATATTAGTTTCTGTCTAATATTTATTTTAAGATAAATATAACATATAACAATATGAACATACAGTTTTATATTAAAAAATAAGATAATGAATTAATATACCAGTTACAGGAATGAGCATTTTGGGTTTTGTTTTCTCCTGGAAATAATTTTTTTTACCTTTAGTGAATCGTGTGATGGTATGACACACTGTTCTATGATATACAGATTTATGTTGTTTTTGTGGTAATGTAGATTTTCAGTTTTGTAAAAATAAACCTCAGAAATTGGCTTACTTTTTTCTGTTCAGTTTTATACCAGCTTTATTGAGATATAATTCACATACCATACAGTTTACCCATTTAAAGTTAATTGGTCTTTGGTATATTCACACATAATGTACAACTGTCGCCCCAGTAAATTGTATAACATTTTCTTCACCCATAAAGAAATTCCATACACTCTTACCTGTCACTGTCATAACCCCACATCCTCCACAGCCCTATGGTGTTTTGGTGTTATCACAGAATTTTGTTTTAGCTATTTTGATACATGTATTGTGGTTTTAATTTGCATTACTTTAATGACTAATGATGTTGAATATGGTGGGCTTATTTTCCCTTTGTATATCTTCTTCAGTGAAATGTTTATTCATGTCGTTTGCCCATTTTCTACTTGAACTGTTTGTAATAATGCAGTTCGGTTTTTAGATTTCTCTGGGTATTCTAGACACTAGTTGTGTTGAATATTTTCTACCAGTCTGTCTTTCTCTTCACAGGGTGTTTTGCCCATCAAAAGCTTCAATTTTGATGAAGTATGATTAATTAGTTTTTTTAATAGATCATACTATTGTTATCAAGTCTAAGAACTCATTACCTACCCATAGGTTCTGAAGGTTTTTCTCTTATGTTGCCTGAAAGTTTTATAGTTTAAAATTTTGTTTTAAACTATAAAATCTGTGATCCATTTTGAGTTAATTTTTGTATAAAATGTACATTTTAAGTCAAGGTTTATTTTTTGCCTGTGGATATTCATTTACTCCACCAGTTTGTTGAAAATTCTTGGCCAGGCATGGTGGCTCACCTGTAATCCCAGCAGTTTGGGAGGCCAATGTGGGAGGATTGCTTGAGCCTAGAGGTTTGCATCCAGCCTGGGCAACATAGTGAAACCTTGCCTCTACTAAAAATAAAAAATTAACTGGGTATGGTGTCACCTGCTTGTGGTCCCAGCTGCTCTGGAAGATCGCCACATTCCTGCCTGGGGGATGGAGTAAGACCTTGTCATAAATAAATAAATAAATGGAAAATTATTTTCTTTCTCTGTTGAACTGCATTTGCAATTTCAAAAAGAAAATTAGCTGGCCATATTAATGTGGGTATATTTCTGGGTCTGTCTTCTGTTTCATTGATTATATGTTTGTTTTTCTATCAATTCTATACTGTCTTAGCTCTGTGGTAAGCCTTAGTATTGGGTAAAGTGATTGCTTTCTCTTTTTCAAAATTGTTTTTAGCTATTTTAGGTCCTTTGTAATTCTATATACATCTTAGAATAAATTTACATCAAAAATGTTGCTGGGAGTTTTAGAGAACAGTTACAACTATAGATCAATTTAGGGAGAATTGGTATCTTTACTGTGCTGAATCTTGCAGCCTATGAACATGATTTTTCCCTCCATTTCTTTAGGCCTTCCGTTTCTTTCATTAGCATTTTGTAATTTTCAAGATAGACATTCTATACTTTTTTGTTGGACTTATAATCACAAAAAGAAAATGAAATCATTATAAGTTTTTAATTTTTGTTTCCACACATTTATTATTAGTATATAGAAATGAAATGGACATTTAGAGTGTTAGTTTTGTATCCTGCAACTTTACTGAACCCGTATAATTCTTACGTATATTCTCTGAGATTTTCTATTATGTCATCTGAAAATAGGGACAATTTTATTTCTTTCTTTCCTGTCTGTATGTCTTTTTTTCCTGTGTGTTTGTGTGTGTGTGTGTGTGTTTTGTGGCACTGTCTAGAATGTTGAGTTCTATATTGAACAAGCTATTGAATAAGCTTGGTGAGAGGTGACATCTTTCTCTTGTTTTGGATCTGAGGGGAAAGCAGTTTTGCATCACTAAGTATTATGTTAGCTGTAGGTACTTTTGTGGATGTTCTTTATCAAGTTGAGGAAGTTACCCTCTATTAAGATTTAATACAAATTTTTATTATGAGTGGATGTTGGATTTTGTGAATTGCTTGTCCTATATCAGTTGATACGATCACATGATTTTTCTTGTTTAGCTTATTGACAATGGTGAATTACACTGACTGGTTTTTGAATGGTGAACTGGGATGGCATACCTGGAATAAATTTCACTTGGTCATAGCTTATAATTCTGTATATATATTGGTATATTTGATATACTAATATTTTGTTGAAATTTTTTGCACCTAAGTTCATGTGATTTTTCTTTGTCTTTAGTCTGTGATTTTTCTTTGTCTGTTTCACTAAACTTAGAAATTTTTCAGCCATTATTTTTTTAATACTTTTTTAGTATTGAAAAGTATTTCCTTTTCCTATACTCTTTTTCTTGGACTCTGGTGACACAATTATTGTCTCATAGGTCCTGAGATTGTTCTTGGTCTTGTGACACCTTTGCAGCAAAAGTAGCAAACCAACTTGCATCTCTTCCTTTCCCCCTTCTGGTTTTGTAAGCTCACCCCTCTTCTTGGCCACATTGACACTAAGGAGGGGAGAAGTGGAAGCAGAACTGACTCATATCACCTTGTTGCTGTAGGTTGGGATGGGATCCTAGCTCCCTGCTGGGCCCTGCTGATATAAGGAAAGGGGGAATCCCAGTGCCAAACAAATCTGCCCCCCACTATTTTTTCTGCCTCGTTGATGCTGGTTGTAGTAGAAGCTCAGTTTTCTATAGGGCCCTGCTGATAATGGGTGAGGGTAGGAGCTAGTTCTGTTTCACACTGTTGTTGATACCAAATGTGAGAGGAGGCTCTGCTCACCATTGGGCCCTGCTGATGCTACTTGGATAGGGGAATCGGGGTGCCATCAATTTCTGTTAGGTGGGAGATGGAAGTTAAGCTCCCAGTTTACTCCTGCTTAAACTGTGGAGAACACTGGTTACATTGGTGTTTAGCTGCAGTAGAGTAGATATTGCTAAAGCAATTTTCTGTTTTTCTAGCCTACCCTTTTTTTTTCTGTGCTTTGTCTTGACAGAACAGGCATTTCTTGATGCCTATTCTGTCTGTCTATGCCTATTGATGTTTTGGAGACTTCTGCAGCATCCTGTCTGAAATACGTAGGAGGCAGTAAGGAAACCCAGGGAACTCACTTCTGTGCTGCTTTTCAAGTCCTCCAAATCCAAGGCATGTACTGTTGTCTGTCTCTCAGAGTCTTCCTATGTTTCATGTGTTTTATCTAGGGTTTTTAATTGTAAGATGGAGGGCCCAAAATGATGGAATGGTTACTTCATTTTGGCCAGAACTGGAATTCTTTACATTAGTTTTGGAAAACTGTAATTAGCTAATAAGAGTTTTAAATTGGGGCTATAAGCACCACTTTACATGTAAATACCTCCACATTGTCGTATTTGTATTTTAGAGAAAGATTCTTATTTATTTTAGGCTATTTTGGTGTGTGGCTTTGAACATAAGCCCTTAGTTTCCAGCATATGTGATGAAATATTGGACTAGATCCTCTGGGGTGCTATCAATTAATATCTTATAAGTTTATGATCCTAAAAATAGTTTAAGTCAAGGTATGCTGTTGGTGCTAGGATAGAGGAAAAGAACTTGGACTTTGGAGGTAGATGTGTGGATTCTGAAAGATGAAGAGACAGCTTTTATATTGCCATTAGGATAGACACCAGAACCAATGTACCTAGACTAGCATTTTGGCATTACCTTTACTCTGTGTATGATCTGGGATAAATTACTTAATTTCTCTTTGTCTCAGTTTCCTCACTGATTAAATGGGTATGATAATACTGATCTTATAGGATTGTTGTGAAGATTAAGAGATACTATAAATAAAGCACTTAAAACAGTGCTCACACATAGTATACACTTTTTAAATATTTATTACTACTCACTGACTATATAGTCTAAAATAAGCTTTAATCTGAATTTCAGTTTTGTCATTTGTAAAGTAGGAATAATTATACATACATTATTTAAATATGTATATACAAATATACAATTTGTACAATAGTTACTGCCATGTTTGTATATTAGTTGTATTTGTTGGGAATTAAATTGGAAAATGTTTTTATTCTATGGGTTTCCAAATACTTTTATCATCTAAAGAAATTTTAATTTTTTTCTTTAATTTCATAGAACGAAAAGATGCTGAAGGATGGGAGACTGTTCAGCGAGGAAGGCCTATTCGTTCTCGATCAACAGCTGTGATGCCAAAAGTTTCATTGGCAACAGAAGCTGCAAGATCAAAGGATGACAGTGATAAAGAAAATGTATGTCTTTTACCTAATGAAAGCATACGGAAAGGTGAATTTGTTGGAGATGGATCTTCTGATACTATAGAATCTCATCCCAAAGACTCATTACACTCTTGTGACCATCCTCTTGCCGAAAAAACGCAGGTAGTACATTTGAAAATCCTTTTACTGTCTTTTTAAAAGGGATTTGTGTATGTGTGTACTGGAATGTCTTAGTCTAGTGCTTCGTTTTTTAACTTACTGTGAAAAATTTCAGGTCTACAGAAAAGTGGCAAGAATAGAACAGTGAACTCCTCCCACACTGTTCACATACATTCGCAAGTTAACATTTTGCCACAGTGTTTCTTTTCTCTTATTACATGTTACACATACATTAAATGCTTAATATTTGAGAGTAATGTGCAAACATCATAAGCATTCACCTTTAAATGCTAGAGCATGAATCTCCAAAGAGCAAAGAAATTTATTTATATAACCACATTACAATTATAAAATTCAAAGAATTTGACATATATATGTATTATTTAATTTATAGTCTATATTTAAAGTTTTTTAGTTTTCCCAATGATTTTTTAAATAGAATTTCCTCCAGGATCCAATGTGGAATCACACAGTTCATTTGGTATGTTTCTTTAATATCTTTCACTGGATACAGTTCCTGAGCCTGTCTTTCTTTGTCTTTTATTACATTAATAGTTTTGAAGAATACATTGTAAGGGTTTTTTTTTTGTACATTGTCCTTGGTTCATTGTTTGTCTAGAATTCAATTTAGCTTATGCATATTTGATAGGAATAAAGTGATTGTCCTTAGTGTCACATCTAGAGGCATGTGATATCAATTTGGCTAGGTTTGTTATTAACTTAAGGCAGTGTCTTTGTGCCTCGTTTGCAGTGTTAAAATTTGAACTTGTTCTACGTACTGAAAATTGAGTATAATTTGCTAATATTTAATATAATTCCTTAAAGTTAATATTCCAAATATTTCTTCTGTTAGTTGAGTTGATGTTTATTTTACTTATTTGATAAACTAGTTTATACTTTTAGGTATTTGTTTATATAAAGGTTTATGTTCAGTTGGTCTAATTTTGTGTGAAATGACTAATGAAATATAGGAACTTTTTTTAGATATCATACTGTAGGAACTAAATAGATTAGTTGTAAAATGGTTGTAATATCTTTGGTGTAGAATAGTATCTGCTTTTTAAAACTCTCTCTCTTTTTACGTGTAGGATCTTTTTTTCAACTGGAAATGCTTCTTAAATTCCTTGTCTTCCTTTACTGATGAGAATGGCTTTTAACATTGTTTCTGATCTATAAACTCTTCAATGTGTATTTGTTTTATGCCTGTGTGAGATTGCATATTCCTTCTGGGCAGTATTTTATGTTGCTTTTTATTTCCCACAATATGGAAGAGTCCTAAACGCATAGGAAGTAATTAGTATATATTTGTTGGATGTAACTTTAAGAAAATCTTTAGTGTATGTAAGCTACATTAGAGATACTTAGTGAATAAACTACTTTTTATATTACTTAACAAACAGCTAGCATTTTTGCTGTTTCAGCTAAAAACAGTATAAACATTATGCAGTTATGTGTAGTGAATAAATCTATATGCTATTGAGATTTCAGGAATAATATGTACATAGAACTTTTGAACAATTAAACTATTGCTAAAAGTTTTCAGTATAAAAGTTCACTGCTGATGGCAGCCAAGCTGATACTTGTTTTCTCCACTGTCATTCGAAAGATGGAATTAACATATTAAGGTCTTTATAGTTTAGCTTTGATTTTGTTTTATAAATGTTACTGAGTTTTTTAATAAGTGGGATTGAGTATTGTACACATAAGTAATGCTAATGTAAGTATTGCGAAGAAGATTATAAACCATAGTGACTGTCATAGAAATAATGTTGATAACAATATAAACAATGTTATATAATTTAAATAATGCTTATGCTAAAATCAACACTTTGGGACACTTTAAGTTTTGACCAATAGTAGAATTTTTAAAGTAGTTTATGAGACTTAGCCAAGTTTGATATTTGTATAAATAATTAATCAAACTGGCGGGAGGTGGTTTATGGCCACTGCAATGTTTATCTAATGTTTATTTAAGAAGTGATGTGAGTTTTAAATTCACAATTTTAGATTTTAGTTCTTTAACTTGGAGTATCATTGGAAAACACAGCACCATTCTTTCTGCACCCTGTTAGAAAGTAAAAATAAAGGCTTGACTCTATTGAAAAGTTTTTTAAAAATGGATATGTATTTAGCCTAAGCCAGTGTTCATTTTTTAATATTGTATTTATATTTCTCTTGGTTTGGTATTAAATATTCCTAAAAGGGAATAGGGAAGATATCTAAATCTAAAGTGTATGACTCTCGTAATGAGACACTGCATGCTTTTAGTCTTTACCCTTAGATCATACTTTTCTCTTTCAGATCTGAGAATTGGTATCATGCACCATATGAATTTTTATCAAAGATACTTTGAGATCACGTTAGTATTATCTGAAGAGAACAAGTTTTACTTTTTTGTGTAAAATACCCTCCAAATATATTTTGGGTAAAAATTGGTTCTAGGATTTTTTCAAAAGTGCTGAATGTCCTCATTTGGTATTAGACTGTTTTTGCAAAAGACCATGTGAATACTTTTGGTTGTATAACACAATGAATGCCTCATACTTGTGACTAGATTTCATTCGTGAGGGATGCAAAATATTCATCACAAATTGGCCTACAAGAAAATTACCGTATAAATTGCTTAATTTCTTAGAATATTTTGGACAGTGCCCAGTACATAGTAGGCATGCAAGTAAAATTTGTGCTTAATGATCCCTGTCCTTTTGTTACACGTAAAACATACAAAAAGGATAAGTAAATTTTGTCATCCAGTCAAGTACCTCTTTACAGTTAATAGGTTAAGCAAAATATCTCTTCTAGAGTGGAATAGTTGGCATTTTTTTATTATCTCTGATTCATTCTATAAATATGTTTTGTTAGTTCACAGTGACTACATTGGATGATGTGAAGAATTCTGGCAGCATTCAAGACAATTATACACCAACTTCTGAAATATCTACTGTCCACATTGATACAGAGTGTGTTTCAGTTACGCAGCAAGCTAGTACACCTCCTTTGCAAGTAAATGAAGAAAAATTTCCAGGAGAGAAAGCAAGAATAGAAAATGAAATGGACCCTTCAGATATTTCAAATGTGAGTGCTGCTAACTTGGTAAGAACAACTTATCAGAATTCTGAGTAAATATATTTAAGAGGCATAAAGCCCAATAATAATAACTTTTCAAAGCATTTTTATATATGTTGTTTATTTTTAACATTTTATTCTTATGGTAATCTTTTCATATAGTTGAGATTCTTGTTTTTTAGAGGAAGAAAGTGAGACTGTGAGAGTTAAGTGACTTGTTCCAAATCATTGTTTGTATGTGATTTGATCAAATGACCTTTAGCCAAGAATTAAGAATCTAAATCAGTAACAATAAAGTCTTTGCTGCTACACATAGCATTCTGATAGATGGGAAATGGTGTCTGCTAGCCTTAGTTTTAAAAACTTTCTTAACAGAGTGCTTTAGACAGCTACTTTCATTTGCTTGGAGTTGGTCTTTAAGATGAGATTTATTTACCATCCCTATTCCAGAATCTCTAAAAGTGCATTGATTTGTGATTATTTATAAGTTTATGATTTTAGATGACAACTTATTTCTACCCATCTCTTCCTATTGCTCATTTTAGTATCAAGATACTTGACTGGAGGATAATCCAGAATAAATCATGCTAACTTTGTTTAAAAACTAACTTTCCAAATAGGCACATATAAAAAGCTGTGAAAAATTACTTAATTAGTTTATTCTAAAATTTAATGCCTTATGCTGAAAGATCTTAACAGCAGATGGTATTAGGTGAAATTATACATTTTATAGAGGTAAGAATAGAGATGAAACTTGATATGGGTTAAGCGTAAAAAGGAAAATAAAGATTATAGTGATATAAAAAACAAATGTTTAAATTATTTTAATAAAGTAGAACAATTGTTATCTTGTGTCTTTTGGTAATGAATATTTTTAAATTTTGAACATATTATGGTCAAATAAGTAGTAAGCTTATTGTATGTGGTGAAATTTGGTAATTTTTTTAGTTTGTTTTGGTAGTTGGATATCAAATTGTATATTTTGCAGTCTGATTCTGTGAGAATCAAATTTTAAAAGAGGAAAAGTATCCCATACTTAAATAAGCATGAAATAATTAAAAATTCTTACCTCCATAGGTGATGGGGGGATGGAGGCAGTAAACCACCATGGCATGTGTATACCTATGTAATAATCCTATAAGATCTGCACACGTACCCCAGAACTTAAAGTATAATAAAAAATTCTTACCTCATTATTTTTACTTTTATCACATATATAAACTTGCAGAGTCATAAAACTTTTTGGTTATTTTGAGGAATTTGCATACTTGAAAGAAAGTAAGTTCTGCTTTAAATGTGAATATTCGCGTATTCTTAGAGGTCTTAAGAATACTTTTTGGTTTGTTTTGACAGAAACATTTGTGTGGGTTGCTCTAGATAAGCACCTTATTGTTTAGTTTCTAAGTGGAGAATTACAGAGAATTCCTGTAGTGATGAGACAACTGTTTTTTCTATTCTTTCTCAGTATGGTATTGTCACATAGCTGTTTAAAGTTATCTGCCATTTGCTTATTTAATAGAAACTTTTGCAAAAAACAATCACAGTGAGATCTTTCTACCTAAGGTCAACTTTTGCCATCATTATAAATGTGTACTGTTATAAAACCCAGCTTGCATTGGATTTACTAACATTTTCAATATTTATTGAAATTTTAGAAAATTTCTAACTAATGATATATGCAGATATTTTATTTGTATTTCACCATGTGAAAATAGTTAAAGTTGTAAATGATTAATTGAATCACTATTTTACTTGTAAACTCTTCTACAAGGTTAGAATATTTTCAGGTCTTCAGATATTAACTAACAGAAATATTACAGCCTGGGGAAAGATAAAATTGAGACAGGAAACAGAGAAGGCTCATGTGAGAGCTCACTGTCTGCAAACTTACATGTATTCAACTCTGATATTTAGATTTTAATTGTTGTTCCTTACAGAGTTTTATGGCACATTAACAATAGTTAATTGCTATAGTGCTTTTGGGTTTATAGAGAAGAGCTTATAATGCATAGAAATAGTCTCTCCTCTAAACTTCTCCATCCCATTCTGTTACCTAGGCACAATCTGTGTGTTTTAGGGCAGGGAGCATGGTAGAGGGGGGAAAGGAAGCCTTAAAAGATACCAACGCCTAGGCTTTAGGCCAGAGCACATATATAAACTGAGGCTGAAGCATTTATATTTTTAAAACTTTTATGGAGGTTATAATTGATTTTTAGCAAACTTTACGCATTTAAAATGTGTAAATGGATAGATCTTGACATGTATTTACATCTATGAAACCATCACTGTAATCAAGATAATAAACATAGTGATTACCACCAAAGGTTTTCCCCCTCTCCTTTTTAATTCTTGTATTCTGCCCTTCCCTTTACCTCCTTCCTAGGCAAACACTGTTCTGCTTTATTTTAGTATGTATTAGTGTGCATTTTCAGAATTTTATATAAATTGAATTGTGTAGGCTTTGCTTGGCTTCTTTCAACATGTTTATTTTGAGATTTATCCATGTAGCTATGTGTATTAATATTTCATTCTGTTCATTAACATTACTAGTATTCTGTTATGTGCATGTAACACAGCGTTTGTTCATTCACTTGCCCAGAGACATTTGAGTTATGTCTTTTTTTTAAATGAATAAAGATGCCATGAATGTTTTTGTATACATCTTTGGGTGAACACGTTTTTATTTCTTTTGAGAAAATACCTAGATCAATTTTATTGATAGTATTGTTCAGGTCTTCTATATCCTTACTAGTTTTTTGTTTACTTTTTCTGTCAGCCGAGAGAGGGGTACTGAAATCACTGAATGTAACTGTGAATCTAATCTTTTTTTTAACAACTTTATTGAGATAATAATTTATATATAATACAACCCACCTGTTTCAAGTTTACTGTTGTTTTTTAGTATATTCACAGAGTTGTACAACCATCACCATAATCAGCTTTGGAATTCTTTCATCACTCTAAAAAGGAAACCCAGTGCCCATTAGCAGTTACTCCCTTTCACTCCATGCACACCCGCCATAGATAACCACTACAATGCTTTTTGCCTATTTTAGGCATTTCATAGAAATTGAATACAATATGTGATTATTTGTGAGTGGCTTCTTTTACTTAGCATGTTTTAGAGGTTCATTCATGTCTTAGTCTGTCTCAGTACTTTCCTCCTTTTTGTGATCAAATAATATAGTCCACTGAATATACCACATTTTATTCATCAGTTGTTGGACATTTAGGTTGTTTCTACTGTGCTATTATGAATAGCACTGCTTTAAGTATTTACATAGAAGTTTTTGTGTGGGCACATTTTTATTTCTCCTGGATATATATCTAGGAGCGTAATTGTTGGGTTATATGAACTCTATGTTTAACTATGTTTAACCAACTGCCAGACAGTTTTCCAATCATTTTACATTCTCATTAGGTTTATTTATTTTTGCATTTCTATAAGATTTTGCCTTATATATTTTGAAGTTCGGTTAGGTCTGTAAACATTTAGGATTGTTTTGACCTCTTGATGAGTTGACTCTTCTATTATTATAAAGTGGTCTTCTTTATTCCTGGTGATATTTTTTGCTCTGAAATCTGTGTCTGATGTTAATACTTCAGCTTTCTTTTAGTTATTGTAGATCTTTTACTTGTAATCCATTTTTTTTCTTATAGGAAGCATGTAATTTAATCTAATTTTTTATCCAGTTTGATAATTTTTGCCTATTACATGTTATATTTACATGTAATGTAAATATTGATATAATTTGTTTAAATCTACCGTTTTACTATTTGTTTTCTCTTCTAATCGTGTTCTTCCTTCCCTTTTTAATTTTTTCATATTTTCATTTTGTCTCATTTGATGGCTTATTAACCACACATATTTGTTTTGTTATTTCAGTGTTGGATTTAGGATTTATAGTATATATCTTTAGCATCTCATGAGGATTTATTAATTAATGATTCTCTTGCATATTATTACTTATAATGCATTTTTAAAAGTTAGGTTTATGTATGTTCAGAAATCATCATTACCAATATGGCATATATTCTTTCCATGTTCCCATTATAGTATACTATTCTGGTTTTACATTTAATGAGTATATTCAATCTGTAATTGTTTTGATTTTTGGTACTCAAATGAAATTCACACTTTGTCATTAATAATACCTGTTATTTATATAACTTCACAGTTTCTCATACATAACTGTCTGGTAAATAAGGTAAGTCATTGATTATTGTTCCATTTGGTGGAATACCAAGTAGGTTCTTGGTTTTTCAGAAGTTTCTAAGGCACACAGCTAGTAAGTGGATGAGCCTATATAGAACTCCAGGTTTTCTGATTCTAGATCAATACTATTCTATGTATATTGTTGAGTTCATGATTAGAACATAAAAAATGATCACTTTCTAGTCAAGTGATGATTTTTCTTTTGTTTATGTGTTTTTAACTTTATAGTCCATGGCAGAAGTCCTTGCTAAAAAAGAAGAGCTAGCAGATCGTCTAGAAAAGGCCAATGAAGAAGCCATTGCTAGTGCTATTGCTGAAGAAGAACAGTTAACTAGAGAAATTGAAGCTGAAGAAAACAATGATATTAACATTGAAACGGACAATGACAGTGATTTTTCTGTGAGCTTTAAGACTTTTTAACGTTAGCTATTCAAAATTTATATTTAGAAACAAAATTATCCAGAAAGACTTGGAGTCCATCTAGTCCTATTTAAAATTATTTAAAAATCATCTTCAATAATAATAACTATTATTTGTAGGGTGATTTAGACTTATATAATAAACAGCAGCAAATCTTTTGTTAGCACTTTACTGTTAACTAAGCATTTTCAGGTATGATACAGTTGACAAGTTAGAAGTTGTTATTCTTATTTTACTAGTCTAGAAATTGAGCCTGGGCTGGTCGTGGTGCCACTTGCCTGTAATCTCAGCACTTTGGGAGGCCAAGACAGTAGGATTTCTTGAGGACAGGAGTTTGAGACCAGCCTGGGCAACATTGTGAAACCCCCATCTCTATTAAAAAAAAAAATTAAAAATTGAATCTGACTTAAAGTAAGAACTCATCATTACTCAGATTATAATTTGTAGAGAGTGAAGAGGAATCTAAGGTATTTTACTTTTGTATTCTATTAACAAAAAAGCAAATGATACACTGCCTTCTGTTACTAAGTGCTTAGGATATATATGTTAATGATGGGAATTTGTTAAAGAATAAAAACAACTAAATGTTGTACATATTCATTTATTAAACTTTAATTTTTCAGTATGTGCTTTGTATATGTAGTATTTACATAATAATAGGATAAGGCCAGTATATTTCTTAAATTTATTTCATTTGTCTCTGCTGTTAATGGTTGCTAGGCTCTTAAAATTTATAGGCTGTTGGTAGTTACTATAATTGTCCTGGTAGTTATCTTTTTTCTGGTTTTCAGCTGTTGGTTAAATGAAATATATTAACAATAGGTAGGACATTTTCATGTATAGTTCATTTTCTAAAGTTATAATTATGTTTAAAGCTTTTTTTTTTCAACTTCTCTTATTATATTTTAGGCCAGTATGGGCAGTGGGAGTGTATCTTTCTGTGGTATGTCCATGGACTGGAATGATGTCCTTGCAGATTATGAAGGTATTGTGTATATGTATATTGGATGTGTAGTACAGGGTTTAAAAGTTTGTTCTCAAATGTTCTTTCGACCTATGTGGTTAAACAATAATAGTTATTTTTTTTTCCTTTCCGAACAGCTCGTGAGTCTTGGCGCCAAAATACATCCTGGGGGGACATTGTAGAAGAAGAACCTGCTAGACCTCCAGGACATGGAATTCACATGCATGAAAAACTTTCTTCACCCTCTCGTAAAAGGTCCGGCATTTGAAACTTAATTTGAAATGGGTCACAGGAAGGAAACCGGCCACTCTTGGCTGTTAAATAAAATTGCTACATGGCATTTTTGGGCATATTACTTTAGGACAGTTTCAGATCCTTTGGAAAGTAACAAAGCTTTCCTGAAATGTTGGGGCAAATTAGTTTTGCATACTTGAAGAACTAAGAAGCCTAAAGAACACTCTTTCTGGCCTTATCATGTAAACATTTCATGTCTCTTGTCTGTTTGTTTGTATTGATAGAACAATTGCAGAATCTAAGAAGAAACATGAAGAAAAACAAATGAAAGCACAGCAGCTAAGGGAAAAATTACGTGAAGAGAAAACATTAAAGCTTCAGAAATTGTTAGAAAGGGTGAGTTTTAATTTTTTTAGGAAATAATGATAGTCTGAAGTTGGTGGGCTTAATTTCAACTGCACTTCTGGTCTGAGAGAAGCTAAAACAACCATAAAAATAATTAGATTTGCTAGGAAATAAAGACATTTTAATCTGTTGATCCAAGAAGGTTAGCTATAAAAAATTGTCATTTTGAAATTATCTAGTAAATTGATATTTTGCAGGGTTAGCATGGATTATTGAACCTGAACTTGTCTTTTGCCATTTTCATCAGCGGGTTTCCTTGGGGAGATTTGTCTGAAGTGTAGAAAGCCCTGATAGGACAAGTTTGGAGCCTAACACTATCAGTTTGTAGTGTGTTTTCCCATGGTCAGCTCTGGTCCTTGCTCTTGGCTCTGATTTTTACTTCTGTTTATGTGTCTGCAGCCAACCCCTTCAGCAATAGGAATGCAAGCTACCGCCCTGTCCCACAGTTGTTGTCAATGCATGTCCATATGCAGCTGGCCAAATAGCCATGCATACACATGGCCACAGCTGGCCATGGTCCCCATTGCCACATGTATACCTGCAACCAAACTCCACCTGGCCTCTGCCATCACCTGCCTTGGTTCCCACCCAGCCAGGGGTGCTCACTTCTTAACACAGAGGTGCTGCCTGCAGCCACTGCCTACACCCTGTAGCTGCCATACCAATGCATACATACAGACCAAGAGTTCTACTTCCCCACACTTTGGCACTCTGTGTGCCAGTAGGCTTAGTACAACTGTATGCTCCTTCATTTCCCCCAAGTCAGTGCTCCCATCTGAGCAATTGACTATCCTTTCTGAAGCCGGTTCAAAGAGTGGACAAGGTGACTGCTTCTTTAAGTGCATAGACAGCAATGCAAGGATACAAGGAACATGAAAAATCAGGGAAACTTGACACCACCAAGGGAACACAATAAATATCCAGCAAGCAACCCAAACAAATGAAGATCCAGGAATAACTGTTGATGGTCAGTGAACTGTAAGAGAACACAGATAAGTAATGTACAGAATCAGGAAAACAACACAAAAACAAAAAGGGGATTATCAAGAAGCTTATAAATGAAGCCCCCACCTTCCTGGGACAGAGCACATGGGAAAAGGGTTGTGGGCACAGCTTCAGCAGACTTAAATGTTCCTGCCTGGCAGCTCTGAAGGGAGCAACAGATCTCCTAGCACAGGACTCGAGATCTGATAAGGGACAGACTGCCTCCTCAAGTGACTCCCTGGCCCCCGTGTATCCTGACTGGAAGACACCTCCCAGCAGGGGCCGACAGACCCCTCATACAGGAGAGCTCTGGCTGGCATCTGGTGGGTACTCTTCTGGGACAAAGCTACCAGAGGAAGGAAGAGGCAGCAGTCTTTGCTGTTCTGCAGCCCCGCCACCCCTGCCCCCCAGTGCTTTCCAGGCAAGCAGTGTCTGGAGTGGACCTCCAGCAAACTCCAGCAGACTTGCAGCAGAGGGGCCTGACTGTTAGAAGGAAAACTAACAAACAGAAAGATATAGTTTCAACATCAACATAGAGGACATCTGCTCAGAGACCCCATCCAAAGGTCATCAACTTCAAAGACCCAAGGTAGATAAATCCATGAAGATGGGAAGAAACCAGCACAAAAAGGCTGAAAACTCCAAAAACCAGAATGCCTCTTCTCCTCCAAGGGATCACAATAAAAAAAGAAAAAGAAAAAGAAAATCAGTAAAAAATAGCTGACTTACAACACTGTACACTAAATGTGCCTAAGAAATATATATAAGATTTTCTACCCCCAAATCAGCAGAATGCTCATTCTTCTCAAGTGCACATGAAACATTCTCCAGAACAGATCACGTGTAAGGTCACAACACAAGTCTTTAGAAATTTAAGAAGATGGAAATCGTACTAATATCTTTTAGACCGCAGTGGAATTAACCTAGAAATCAATAACAGAAAATAGGAACATTAGCAAAAATGTGATAACTAAACATTATATGGTTGAACAACTATTTGGTAAAAGAGGAAACGGAAAATTTAAGTAATACGTTAACAAATGAAAACAAATATAACTCACTAAAATTTGTGGGATGTGGCAAAAGCAAGACTCTGAGGGAGGTTTATAGTGATAGATGCCTGCATTAGAAGAGAAGAAAGATCTCAAACAACCTAGTTTTCTAACTCACAGAACTAGAAAAAGAAGAAACAAGCTAACCCCAAAATTACTATATGTAAAGAAATAATGATTAGAGCAGAAATAATTGAAATGCAAAAGAGAAAAATGATAGGAAACAAATCAACAAAATGGTTGGTTTTTTGGGAAGATTAAAAATATCAACGAACTCTTAGTCTAAGAAAAAAAAGAAAATAAATTAGAAATGAAAGTAGAGTCATTATAATGGATAACACAAAAAGGATCATAAAGAACTACTACAAATAATTATATGTTGCTAAATTGTATAACCTTAGAAGTGGATATACTCTTAGAAATATACAACCCACTATGACTGAATCAAGAAGAAATAAAGAGCCTAAACAGACCAATAACAAATAAAGAGATTGAATCAGTAATTAGAAGCTGACAAAAAAAAAAAGGCCCGGGGCCAAATGGCTTAACTGATGAATTCTAAGAAACATTTAAGGAGAAGTAGTACCAACCTTTCTTGAACGATTCTGAAAAATAAAAGAAGAGGGAACATTTATATGAAATATGAAATATTCTAGCCCGGGCGCAGTGGCTTAAGCCTGTAATCCCAGCACTTTGGGAGGCCGAGGCGGGTGGATCACGAGGTCAAGAGATCGAGACCATCCTGGTCAACACGGTGAAACCCTGTCTCTACTAAAACTACAAAAAATTAGCTGGACATGGTGGCGCGTGCCTGTAATCCCAGCTACTCAGGAGGCTGAGGCAGGAGAATTGCCTGAACCCAGGAGGCGGAGGTTGCGGTGAGCCGAGATCGCGCCATTGCACTCCAGCGTGGGTAACGAGCGAAACTCCGTCTCAAAAAAAAAAAAAAAAAAAAAAAAAGAAATATTCTATTGGTCTCTGCCTCTGCTTCCTGACATAGAGCTCCTAAAACTCTGGTAGATAGCAGCAGCCGGAGAATTTTTTTGTTCAATATTTGTTCTCTGAACCTGGTTCCCAACAGATAACTTCTATGATCTTTGTAATTTCTTGAGTGGTAAGAAAACAGTGCATCTGAAACAGAGTTTCTAAATACCTTGGGCTTTGCTGAGTGATAGGAGCATCTTTTGTTGTAATGAGGTTACTCTTGGTAGTGTCCCTGATAGCCTCAGAATTGGTGCTGGTTACCAGAACTTTGACCTCCTGGTTCAGTTGATGGCTAAAGCCAGTGATTTAATAAATCATGCCTCTGTAATGAAGTATCCATTAAATACCCCAAGAACAGAGTTTGGGGAGCTTCTGGGTTGTTAAACATGTGGAAGTGCCTGGAAGGTGGCACACTTGGAGAGGGCATGGAAGTTTCGTGTTCTTTCTTCACACTTTGCCCTAGGCGTCTTTTCCATCTGGCTGTTTGTCTGCATCATTTAAGAGTTCCTTTGTAATAAATTGTCAATAATAAGTAAAGTGTTTCCTTGAGTTCTGTGAACCACTCTAGCAAATTAATCAAACTTGAGGAGACAGTTGTGAGAGTGCCAGATTTATAGCTGGTTTGTCAGAAGTATGGCTCAGAACTTGGGACTTGTGATTAGCATCTGAAGTTGTGGGGCAGTCTTGTGGGAGTGAGCCCTTAATCTGTGGGAACAGGTAGAAAATGTCAGAATTAGATTGAATTATAAGACAGCTAGCTGGTGTCAGAGAAGTGGTCAGTGTGAGAAAAAAAAAACCCTAAAAATCTTGGTGAACAGAATTGTTACTGTATTGTAGGTGAGAGTAGGAAAAACAATTTAGTTTTTTCTGTCTCTTATGACTCCCAAACTTGTATTTTGAGGCCAGCATCACTCTGATTCCAAATCTAGACAGAGATAACACAAGAAAGGGGAGAACCACAGGCCAATATTCCAGACGAATATAGATGCAAAAATCCTCTTTAAAATACTAGCAAACCAAATTCAAGAGTACATTAACAATCATACCATGATTGAGTGGGATTTATCTCTGGAATGTAATGTAAGCATGGTGAAATATACTAAAATCTGTAAATGCAATATGCTACATTAATACAATGAAAGGCAAAAAATATGAGTGTCTCAATAGATGTAGGATAAACGCTTGACAAAGTTCAACATTCTTTCATGAAAAAAACTCTTAATAGATATAGAAGGAACTTTTCTCAACACAGTAAAGGAAGATGCTGTTGTTTTAATGTTTGTCCCCTCCAAAACACATATTGAAGTTTAATTGCTATTGTAACAATATTAAGAGGTGGTCTGTGAAGAGGGGATTAGGTTATGTTGGCCCTGCTCTTAGGAATGGATTGATACCTTGTTGTGGAAGTGGGTCCTTATTTCGGGAGTGGTTGCCTTATAAAAGGTTGGATTCAGCTTCCTTTAGTGCCCCTGCCCCCCTTTGCCCTCTCTTGCCTTCTTGGTTTCCTCCAGGGTTCATTTAGTAAGAAGGCCCTTATCAGATGCCAGCACCTTGGTACTGGACTTCCTGTCTCCAGAACTATTATATGATAAATAAATTTCTTTTCTTTATACATTACCTAGTTTCTGATATTCTGTTATAGCAGCACAAAACAGACTAAGACAGCCCATATATAAACAACCCATAGTTAATATCATAATTGGGAAAAACTGAAAGCTTTTTCTCTATGATCTGGTAAAAGGCAAGCATGCCTACTTTTACCATTTCTCTCCAACACAGTGCTGGGAATACAAGGAAAAGCAGCCAGGCAAGAAGAAGAAATGAATGCATTATATGGGAAGGGAAAGAATTAAAATTGTCTATTTGTACATAACATCATAAACATAGAAAATCTTAAAGATTCCACAAAAACTTTGAGAAATAGTTATGAATTCAGTAACGTTTCAAGATATAGAATCAACAGCTTAGAAATCAGGTTTCCATACACTATGAACTGTGTGAAAGAGAAAGTAAGGGAACAGTTTTCTTTTTATTAGCAACAAAAGGAATAAAATATTTAGGAATTAAGCAGAGAGGTAAATACTTGTATAGTGAAAATTATAAATTTATGAAAGAAAATTTAAAACAGCAAGTAAATAGATATTTGTGTTCATGGATTAGAAGAATTAATATTATTACAATGTCCATATAGCCCTAAGTGATCTACAGTTTCAGTGCAATCTCTATCAAAATCTCAACCATTTTGTTTTGGAGAAATAGAAAACAGTCCTAAAATTCATATGGAGCTCCAAAAGACCCCAAAGATCAAAAGTAATCTTGAGCAAGAACAAAGGCTATGGTCATAACACTGTCTACAAATGTTATTATAAATGTGTAGTAATCAAAACAATTTGGCACTGGCATACAAATATGCACACAGACCAATGGAACTTAATGGAAAACCCAGAAATAAACCCATGCAATTATGGGAAAGTGGTCTTTGACAAAGGTGCTGAGAACATACAATGGGGAAAGCATAATTTTTTCAACAAAGGGTATTGGGAATACTGGATTTCCACATACAAAAGAATGAAATTGACGCTTATTTTACACCATATGCAAAAATCAACTCAAAATGGACTAAGGGCTATTTTGTTACCTTCTGATACTAGAAAGTAGTATAAATATGCATAGGTTGAGCATATTATTTGGATTACTTTTAGTGTGTAGTTTAAATTTGGGAGAAATAGTGGGTTGACATAACCTGAATATTTATGAAAATGTATTAGGTAACGCAGGATTCTCTTGTACTGCAGCAAAGCGGTCTGTAAGAAAATTCTGTGATTTTTTTTCTTGACTCTCAAGAATTTGTCATATAGATGAACAAATTATATATGAAAAACAGTCTCTTGTGGGGTTCTATAGGAGTCAGTGTTTTAATTTTAGCTTAAGAGAAGTGCTCTAACACAACAATTCTCCTCTTACTGTGTTTCTTAACAGCAAAATTACAGCATATTTTCATATATCTAAATATGATCTCTGAGTATTCATGCAAGAAAATCATAGATTAATGAAAGTATACAAGAGTTCAGATATTTTTTGGTTATTTTCTCAGTGTAGGTATCCCTTTAATTAATTTTAATGGCAAATTTCATCTTCCATTTGTGTGATAGATTATTGTTTTCAACACTGTTTCACATGAGTGATGTCATCTGATCACCACAATAAATGTGATGTACACATGGCAGGTATCAACCCTCATTTTATAGAGGTAAAAAAAATCTAGCAGAGGCTGTTTCCAATGTTACACAACCAATAATTTGCAGAGATAAGGCTTTTAGGGCATGTCATCTGGCTCTTAGTATAGTGCTATTTTTGTATCATACTTTGTTGGATGGTTCAACACATTGTTTAGAGAAAAAATTCAATTAAAATGTTAGTTTTTCCCATACATATTGATCCAATTTCTGATTTTCTGTAATTTATTTTCATTGGTGGTGAATCTTATTTCCTGGAGCACAGAACAAGCTTTTGTTTATTCTATTTGAGGCTGTTTCAAGGAATTAAAATTTTAAGGAGTTAATTTCTTAAAACAACATTAAATAGCAATTATTATATCTATCTTTATTTTGTAGGTGAAACCCACTCTAATCCTTTAGAGAATGTTTCTTATGCAAATAATGTGATTTGTTGGATGTCATTTTTTAGTTTCTAGGATGAAATTACTTATTTTTCTTGAATGTGGGTTACATCATAGAGATGTTAAAGCTTATAAGGATAAGAAATATACACTATATTCATTTTAAACATACTCATGGTAACAGTGCAAGAATAATAGCACATATTTCTGTAGAGGCATGTGTAAGCCTCTGTTCTGAGAGTTTTACATACATTAACTCAATCTTCAAATAACCCTATGAATTAGGTACTATTATTATTCAGACAAGGAAACTGAGACAGAGGCTAAAAAAGTTGTCTAGATTATGCAGCTAGTAAGTGGCCAGCGTAGATTATGAATTCAGGTTGCTTAGCGTCATAGTCTGTGTCTTTAATTGTTAGGTATGATCCTGCACATTTTCCCAGGCTTTATAAGCCATTTACTTATTTGTACTTCTTTTAAATGATTGTGTATGTTGAAATTAATGATGTGATAATTCACTGTATGTAGGAGAAGGATGTCCGGAAGTGGAAGGAAGAATTACTAGATCAGCGACGCCGGATGATGGAAGAAAAATTACTTCATGCTGAATTTAAGCGAGAAGTGCAATTACAAGCAATTGTGAAAAAAGCACAAGAAGAAGAAGCTAAGGTATATCATAGGAGTTTTAAATGTTGACTTAATTACCTAAGTACTTTTTTGCGATTGTTATATAATAGTAATAGAAAATGTTTTTCAAATGTCTATTCTCTTCTAGAATAAGAGCATAGAGGCTCATTTAAAACTTAGTAGGTGTAATATTTTAACCCTTTGATAATTCTATGAGCCATCTATTATTTTTACAGCTCTATAAAGGTATAATTGATAGAGAATGAGCAGCACATATGTAAAGTATTCTGTTTGATGAGTTTTGACATTCATATGTCCCTGAAACTATCAGTACCATGAACATAATACACAATTCCTCTTTGTAATTAATTCCTTCATTCAACTCTGTTCATTTAATTACTGATCTGCTTTCTATCAGTGTAGATGTTTGCATTTTCTGGAACTTTTTGTGCATGGAATCATACAGCATCTACTCTTTCCTCTGGCTTTCCCTCGTAATAGGTACTTTGAACTTCTTCCGTCCTGTTGTGTGTGTCAGTAGTTCCTTGCTTTTTATTCCTTCCATATGAAAATACCGTAATTTGTTAACCCAGTCACTTGTTGATGGACATGTGTTTTCTTTGCAATTTGTGTCTATTACAAATAGAGCTGCTGTGGCAATACATGTATGTGTCTTTGTGCAGATGTGTACTTTCATTTTTATTTTATAAAAACCTAGCAGTGGATTGGTGTAGCATCTGAAAATAGGTTCATGTTTAATCTTTACACATGGTTTTTCATATTGGTTACATATTTTACATTCCTACCAGCTGTGAATGAGAGTTCCAGTTATGCCATATTCTGACCAGTACTTGACACAGTTACCCATTTTAATTTCAGTTGTTTAAAAAAAAATGCATATAGAGTCTCATTTTTTTTCCAATTCTTTTTTATTATGGGAAAAACATAGAAGATTTGTCATTTGAATCATTGTTAAGTATACAGTTCAGTGGTTTTAATAGTAGTAGTGTACCATTATACATTCCCACCAGTAGTGCACAAGGGTTTGAGTTATTCCATATCCTCTCTAACTCTGATCATTTTGTTTTTGTGATATAGTGGTCATTGTAGTGTGTGTTACGTCGTTGTAGTTTTGATTTGCATTTCCCTAGTGATTAGTGATGTTGAGCATCTTTTCATGTGCTTATTGGCCGTTTGTTTATCTTCTTTGGAGAAATGTCTGTTCAAGTCCTTTGCCCGTTTTTGAATTGAGTCGTTTGTTTTTTATTGTTGTTGTTGTTGAGTTTTAGGAGTTCTGTATGTATTCTTGATATCAATTTGTTTTTCAATCAAATATATGATTTGGAAATGTTTTCTCCCATTCCAAGGGTTGCATTTTTACTTTGGCAATAGTGTCTTTTGACATGCAAAATGTTTCAATTTTCACAAAGTCCAGTGTGTCTGTTTTTTTCTTTTGCTGCCTGTGACTTTGGAGTCATATCCAATAAGTCATTGCAAAAATCCAGGGTCATGACACTTTTATCCTGTGTTTTTTTCTAAGAGTTTTATAGCTTTAGATCTTACATTTAGGTAATTGACCCATTTTGAGTTAATTTCAGTATATGGTGTTAGGTAAAAGTTTAGGTTCATTCTTTTGCATGTGGCTGTCAAGTTTTCCTGTTACCATTTGCTGAAAAGACTGTTCTTTGTTCATTAAATTGTCTTGGCACCCTTGTCAAAAATCATTTGACCGTATCTGAGGGCCTGTTTCTTAGCCCTCTGTTCTGTTTCACAGGTCTGTGTCTGTTTTAGTGCTAGTACTATACTGTTTTGATTATTGTTGTTCTGTTTTAAGTTTTGAAATCATGAAGTGTGAGTCACCCAATTTTGTTGTTCTTTTCAAGATTGTTTTGGTTATTTGGGGTCCCTTGAGATTCCAAATGAATTTTAGGGTGGTCTTTTCTGTTTCTGCAGTCATCATTGAGATTTTGATAAGAGATTGCATTGAATCTGTAGATCACTTTGTGTGTTGCTGATATCTTAACAATGTTACGTGTTCTCGTTCATGATCATGGGATAATTTTTCATTTATTTGTCTCATCTTTAAATTTTCAACAATGTTTTGTAGTTTTTATTGTCTTTTGCCTCCTTGGTTAATTACTAAGTATTTTATTATTTTGATACTGTTGTTAATGGAATTATTTTCATAATCGTTTCAGATTGTTCCTTGTTAGTGTATAGAAATGCAATTGACTTTTGTATGTTGACTTTGTATCCTGCTACTTTCCTGAAGTTTTATTAGTTCTAACAATATTCTGGTGGAATCTGTGTTTTCTACACATAGGTTCATATAATCTGTGAACAAAGATAATCTTACTACTTTCTAAATTTGGACACTATTTCTTTTACTTGCCCAATTTTTCTGGCTTGAACTTCTAGTGCTACCTTAAATAGAAGTGGTGAAAGCAGATATTCTTTATCTTGTTCCTAATATGAGAGTAAACATTTTCAGTCTTTTACCATTGCTTTGTTTTTGGTGCTAAGAAATAATTGTCAAATCCAAGATCATGAAGATTTACCTCTTTATTTTCTTCTAAGATTTTGTGGTTTTAGATGTTTATATTTAAGTCATAAAGACATTTTGAGTTAATTTTTGTGTATGATCTGAGGTAGATGTTCAACTTAATTCTTTTGCATAAGAATATCCATATTTCCCAGCACCGTTTGTTGAAGAGGCAAACCCTCCTGTTGGTCTGTCTCAGCCCATTTGTGTTGCTATAAAGGAATACTTGAGGCTGGGTAATTGTAAAGAAAAGAGGTTTATTTAGCTCACAATTCTGTAGGCTGTACAAAGAACATGTCAACATCATCTACTTCTGGTGAGAGCCTTAGGCTGACTCCACTGATGGCAGAAGGTGAAGGAGCCAGCATGTACAGATCACATGGTGAAAGAGGAGGCAGTAAGAGAGGAGAGAGGTGCCCGACTTCTGTAAACAACTAGCTTTTGAGGGAACTTTTAATAGGAACTAATATAGCAGAACTCACCCCTCTCCCCTGAGGGCGTTAATCTATTAATGAGACATCTGTTCCCATGACCCAAACACCTCCCATTAGGCCTCTACCTCTAACATTGGTGATTGTTTCACATATTGATCACACATTTCTTTTTTTTCTTGAGACGGAGTCTTGCTCTGTCCCCTGGCTGGAGTGCAGTGGCACAATCTTGGCTCACTGCAACCTCCACCTCCTGGGTTCGAGCAGTTCTCCTGCCTCAGCCTCCTGAGTACCTGGGACTACAGGTGCGTGCCACCATGCCCAGCAAATTTTTGTATATTTTTAGTGGAGACGGGGTTTCACCATGTTGTCCAGGATGGTCTCGATCTCTTGACTTCATGAGCCTCCCACCTCAGCCTCCCAAAGGTGGGATTACAGGCGTGAGCCACTGCGCCTGGCCAGATCACATATTTCAACATGTGCTTTGAAAGGACAGACAGGTAAACCATAGCAGTCTATATGTCTATCCTTATGCCAATATTGCACTGTTTTGATTACTGTACTTTTTAGTAATCTTTGAAATGGGAGCAGTGAGTCCTCCAACTTCGTTATCCCTGTCCCCACCAAACATGATGTAGCAACATAGTGTACCCTGCAATTCCATGCGGATTGAGGTTTGGTTTTTCATATCTGCAGAAAAGCCCATTGGCATTTTGTTATGGATTGCATATCTTTATATCCCTTTGATTAATATTACCGTCTTAACAATATTAGTCTTCCAGTTTATGAATGTGGACTTCCCTTCTGTTTATTTGTCTTCTTTAATTTCTTTCAGCATTGTTTTGTTTTCTTTATACAAGTATTTCACTGCTTTGTTTAGATTTATTCCTAAATATTCTTTTGGATGTGATTATAAATGCTATTGTTATCTTAATTTCATTTTTGATTATTTATTGGTAGTGTACAGACATACAATCAATTTTTATATATTGATCTTATGTCTTGTAGTCTTGTTTGAACTCCATTAGTTTTAATAGCTTTTTAGTGAATTCTTTAGGATTTCTTATAAACAAGGTCACATAATCTGCAAATATAGTTTGTTTTGCTTTTGCTTTCCAGTTGGATGTCTTTGATTTCTTTCTCTTGTTTAATTGCTTTGGCTAGAACCTATAGTATGTTGTTGAATAGAACCAGTGAGAGTGTACCTCCGTATGTTATTCTTGATCTTCCTAGATATATTTAATCTCTCATCAAGTATAATGTTAAACGTAGAGTTTTCATGTACAGTTGATCCTTGGCATCTGTGGGTTCTGCATTTGCAGATTCAACCACCTGCAGACCGATCAGCAGGTGGTCAAATCTGTGAATGCAGAGGGTCAACTGTAGGGGACTTCATCATCTGTGGACTTTGATATCCATGGTGGATACTGGAATCAATCCCCCATGAATACTGAGGGACAACTATATGTCCTTTATCAGGTCAAGGAAGTTCATTTTTATTCATTGTTTGTTGAGCACTTTTATTATTAAGGGATATTGGATTTGTCAAGTGCTTTTTCTCAATCTATTGCTGTTAAACTGTATTTTTTGTCCTTGTTCTATTGACCTGGTATATTAATTGAATCTTAGATATTTTGTATATTTGTCCAGTTTGGTTATTTGTTTAAGTTTCAAGGGTAAATTTCATCCTGTTACTTATGGCTGGAAGTGGAACTTCTGATCTGTGTATTTTTTTTTTTTATCTTTTTATTTTTGAGGGACAGTCTAAAGGTATATTATTGATGATCATAGAGGCAGAATTCAAATCCAGATCTTTCTGGTTCCCAAGGCTCTGATTTTACCACTGTACTTACTACTTTAGTGTTCTTATTTTGTGGTATTTTATCATATGACTTATGTACATTTTGACTTGTCTAATTGCTTAATATACTTCATTTCAATATGATTTTATTAAACCAAAGTGACTCTTATAAGCACATTAACCTAATTATTTATCACAGTTTAAATAATTTCCATAGAGATGGATGGTCAACTCCTGGGTATCTTTACATGAGAATATCAGCTACCAT